GGCGGCGCCGGCTTGTCCTCCTTCTTGCCCTGACCGCCCGCCACGGGCGCCGGCGGCGCCGCCGCGTCGGCGGCGGCGGCGGCGCCCTCCTTGCTGCTGCCGCCGAGGAGCGCCGTGGCGCCGACCAGAACGACAGTCGCGCCAATGATGATCGCCACGGGGTTGGCCCCGCGCGCCACGGCGTCGGCCTGCGCGGCCGCGGGCGCGGCCGCCGCCTCGGGCGCGGGCGCGGCCTTGGTCGGCGCGGGCGGCGGCGGCGGAGCCTCGACCTTGGGCGCGGGCTTGGGCGCCTCGGCCTTGGGCGCCGGTGGTGGCGTCTCCACCTTGGGCGCGGGCTTGGGCGCCTCTACCTTGGGCGCCGGCGGCGGCGGCGGCGGCTCCACCTTGGGGGCCGGCGGCGGCACCTCGGCCTTGGGGGCAGGCGGCGGCGGCGGCGGCGCCTCCACCTTGGGCGCAGGCGGCGGCGGCGGGGGCGCCTCTACCTTGGGGGCAGGGGGCGGCGGCGGCGGCGTCTCCACCTTGGGCGCAGGCGGCGGCGGCGCCTCCACCTTGGGCGCCGGCGGCGGCGGTGGCGGCGTCTCGGCCTTGGGCGCAGGCGGCGGCGGCGGGGGCGCCTCCGCCTTGGGGGCGGGCTTGGGCGCCTCGGCCTTGGGCGCCGGCGCCTCCGCCTTCGGCGCGGGCGGCGCGGGCGGGGCCGTGAAGGAGTATGCGCCCGTGCTGCGCTTCGCCTCTATCCCATCGCCCTTGACCTTGGCCTTTGCCAGCTGGACCAGTTCGTCCTCTGCCTTGTCGCTGACGGACCCGCCGGTGGTGGTGGGCGCGGGGGAGCCGACGAAGATCGCGGCGGCGGCGACGACGGAGAGGCCGACGACGCCGGCGGCGGTGAAGTTGGTGGGCTCGTCGGGGTTGTCCTCGTTTATGAATGCCTGGGGGTGGGGCACAGGATGTTGGATTGGGCATGCTAAAACCCACGCACTGTGCAGTGTACTCCCTGAACTAGTGATTGCATGTGCGGCGTTCACGTTTTTGGGGGTGCAGCGGGGGGCGAGGGGGCGTTCTGCGAGAGGGTCAGGGGTTTGTAGGCGCGGGCGCCGCGTGCAGCGGCGCAAGCCGCGCTTTCAGCCAGATAGGATTGGCCGGCGGGCGGGACGACCGCCACGCACAGGGCTGGGTGCACTTAGAACACAACAAGCGAAAGAAGCGAACGCGACTCCATAGTCAGCTTTGAGCGTTGAGGAATTTCGTAATCAAGCGTGCACGTTCCCACCTTCCTGATGGTCCCCCTCAGCGCGTCGCCGCCCGCCGGCAGCGCCGCGCGCGCCTTGGCGCCGCCGACGCGCGCGGTGCCGGGCTTGGGGGAGGCGGGCCGGGACGGCGGCGGCGACGCGGACCGCTTGGGAGCGGAGGTGGGGGCCTTGCGGGACGGCTTGGGCGCAAAATCCTCAGCAGGCTCCTCTGAGGAAGACCTCTGTGGTTGGATCGTGTTTGTGTGAATGGGGTTCACACATCAGCGGGGGGGGTCGTGAAGAGCGCGATCGTGTGCTTGCCGGCAGAGCCATCCTGGCAGTACACCCTTGCAGCAGACCAGGGCGGGGGCCGTGGTGTCTTCCCGGTGTCTGCAGCGGCTGCTGCGCAAGCACAGCAGGGGACGCCCTCGCCTTCCCCTGCCTGTCAGCCCAGCCGCACTGCACCGCCCGCGCGGCGCGAGCGCCTCCGGGTTCTCACCCGGGACACGAAGAGAAGGCCTCCGAGGAGGCCACCGCCGACGGCCGCCACGCCAGCCAGCAAGCCGGCGATAAAAAACCCCGGCCCCGCGGCCCCATCCGCGGCTGGCGCCGCCGGCGCGGGCTTGGCGGCTGCGGGCGCCGGCGCCGCAGCAAGGGCGGGGGCGGGGGCGGCCTCCTTTGCCAGCCGCTCGCGGATGGCCGAGCTCCGCTCGGGCGCGTCGGGCGCGCCGCCCTGCTGGGCCTGCGCGGCGTCGCGGCGCGTGGGCGTTGTTGGCGGGGGCGCGGCGCCGGCGGGCAGGTCCATGGTTGGGGCCGGCCGGCAGGCGAGGCGGCCGCCTTCAGCGCGCCCGTCCCGACGCGGGGCGGGCGCGGACTGCGCCCACAAGTACGCTCAGAAACGCGCTTCTAGGCGGGCCCCCGAAAGACCCCGCTGGATGTCAAAGCGGCTTGCTGCGGCGCACGCGCGTGTTTGTGTTCGAGGGCCGCCTCCCAAAGCCAAAGCGCACCTGGAACTTTTCAAGGAGAGAAATTCTGCTCGCCAGCTCCTTTAGCTCCTGCGCAGCCGCGGCGTTCGCGTTTGATGGGCAGTGGGCGACTGGCGGGCGGCGTGCTGGCGGATGGGCGGGGGCGCATTGGAGGGGACCCCCCCGCCTCGGGGGGTTGGGGCTGGGGGCGCAACGCACCGCAGCGGCATCGCCGCTGTTGCAATCACGGCCGTTTGCAGGAGGGGCGGCGGCGGCGGCAGCGGCGTCGCCGGCGGCGCGGACAGCAGCGGCAGCGGCGGCGTTGCGCCCACCTCGTAGGTCGGGTCGGCGTCGGCGTGCGCCGCGCCCGCGAGGCTCAGCGCGCTCAGCAGCGCCATGCCGCCAGCCGCCAAGGTCTCGCCGACAGGCTGCGGCAGCGCAGCGGTGCGGGCGGCCCAATCGGAATTGGGCGCAAGCTGTATGCGGGCGCGGACGGGGCGCGGCAGGTGCGAGCGGCGGCAGCAAAGGCGCCGCTGAGCGGCGCTCGCTGCTGAACCCGCCGTCACATCCCGTGTGCCCGGCAGGCGAGCGAAGATCAGGCCCCACAAATGCACTGAGATTCTTACCTTGTCGCCATCACGTACGGCCCGCGTGGCCACGGGCCTGGCATGGCTGCAGCCCGCTCCGCGCGCCCATCCCCGGGCAGTCTGGGCCTTCAGCATCCTGAAACACCACAAGAAAACAACTCAATAGGTATTCTTTGACTTAAGATGAAATCTGTGATCCCAATGAACTTGGAATGGTGGGTGGTGCTTCCGACGAGATGCAGCCGGGATCAATCAATCAACTTGTCACGGCATCAGCGGCACTGCATGACCAAGGGAGTGTTCCGCGGTTGTGATATTTTTGATGGTCATTCATCAAGTGCAAGGGCAGAGGTGCCACACACAACTGGCGCACGCAAGGCTTGTGCGCCAGGCTGAGCTTTACTGCCGAGATCACATGGGGTAGCAGCAAGGTCCTCGGCCCCGCCTTGCGCAAGAAGGGTCGGCTTCACAAGGCTCTGCTGTTTCAGGCAGCGAGTAGCCGAATCAGTGTTTTTGCGACGGACAGCACGCGTCTGGTTGACTGGCATGTTTGACTGACACGACAGTGCTGCAACAGGTTCTGGCCATCGGGCGCTCGATTTCAGCCACACCCGCTGCAACAATGATGTCCAGGTTCTATCATGAGTGCGTGAGGCCGGCATTCCCGCCAACGTTGCCGGCAAACGTCTGAGAGTCCCTACTGCGATAGGTACCGTAATCTTTTGGGATGGGCAGCCAAGCGTGCTGAGTAAGCGCAGGCTTCGGCGCGCCGTCGCCCCAACACCATTTTGCCTATCCGCCAACGCTCGCGCCGAACTCAGACAGCAGAGACTCTTGAACACAGGGCGTTCCTGGTGGTTGTCGGAACCACGCATAGCAGCAGGGACGCAGGGAATGGCGCATGGGGATGGCGTGTAGCGTGGCTGGCACGCATGGCCTGCCAAACGAACTGAGATCCAACAGCATGCGGTGGCTGCTGGGGCGCGCGGGCTGGGGCAAACACGCTTCTCGTATTGACCACATTCGGTTGACCTGCAACCTGAGAGCACGCGCCAGCTGCCCAAAACTCTCCCCTCCCGCTTGCCGTATGAGTCGCGCCGCCTGAGGAGAAGCCTCAACAGGGCTGGCAGCAACCCCCTGCCACCTGGACCCTGAGCCGCTGGCTTCTGCGCACACGAGCTTTTGAATCGTCGCCGCCGCGCATGAGCGCACGGGTGCGACTAAGGAAAAAGCTTGTTTTCAAGCTGGGGCTTGGATGTGATGAAGCGTGACATTCATTCTTTGTAGCTCAGGGGGTTGGTCCAATGGCCCAAGATGGGTCAGTGTCCATTGCACTGGTGGCCGTGCGTGGCTTCATTTCTTGGTGAGTTCTGGGTGCGGCTCACTGCTTCACCCAAAGCAGGACACAGCCCAGGAGCTGTTTTGCTTTCAATCGTGTTGAAGAGGGTCTTTTGAGGGTCTCGCGGGTGGCCTTGCATTGAGGACGGCTGGTTTTGACGGCTGCGGCGTGACACCATGGTGTTGGCCACCTGCCAACTGTGCAGCGGCGGGAACGCCAGCGCGCTGCGGCGGCCATGCTGCGTGTTGTGAAGAAAGCCGCTGCTCGCAGCAACTCGAGTGGAATCCAAGCGGACGCCTCATAAATCCATTGCGGGCCGCGCGGGCGGCCCGCAAAGGTGCCAGGCTGAGCAGGAGAAGCTCGGCGCGACCATGCCTAATCTTGTCGCCCGCCGCCGGAAATGCCAAAATCCTGCTTACATCATCATACAACAGGCGTGGCCACTCCAACTGGAGTCTATGGTTATGTTCCACGAGATTATCCAGTGGCAAGTCCGTCAGGGCATGCGCGGCAGGACTTCACGCAGTGGCCGGGCGAGCATGTAGTGGTGCGTGTCCAAGTGCTGGAGCCGTGTGTCAGCGCTGATGTCGCCGACACAAGAGAACTCAAGTGATACCATACTTATACGACTCATTTTAACGTTCTAAACCTGCATAATTCCCCTGCGCTGGTGCAGCTTTTGACAATCTGTGAAGCTCGGTGCGATTTGCGCAGCTGCGGGCAACGTTGGCGCGTTTTGTAAAGATACAAAGGAAAGGACGACAGACTTCTAACTTGTGTGAAGCCGACGTGTCAGCCGACGTACGAGGCATCGTCTTGCTAGCGGGCACCGAGCGCTTTCGTTGAAGAGCCGACGAGCCCCGCAACCAGCAGAGAGCCATTGTGGAGACTTGGACACTTGTAATAACCGTTGATGCCGTGCAGGTGCGCAGGCTAGCTGTCGCGCCTGCCGAACGCACCTGCACTCAAACACCTGGTGTGAGTGTGTCCAGGGTGCCCGTCGGCCACTGACGCGCAGTCCCGTGCGTAGGAACTCGGAGAGCTGTACAATGGACAGCCACACACGCCTGCTCGTGGCGGCGCTGCTGGTGGCACCCGTCATCGGTGAGCATGCGCCGACAAACTGCCGCCCAGTTACGGGCATTGGATCAGGCACAATAATCCAACGCCGTTCCCAGACACGCGTTGGCGTCCTGCGCGGCGCGATGCCCACTACAGTTTACCCCTGCCTTGACAACGTGTGTGTCATTCTGGTCCCCCTCCAGGCGGTTTCATCGTGGCCGACGACGGCAGCAGCCCCGCCGCGGCGCGGGGCGCTCCCACCACCCCAGCCGCCGCCGCCGCCGCCGCCGCCGCTGCCGCCGCCGCCGACCCCGAAGCCGCTGCGCTCGCTGCCATGGCCGCCGGCGAGCCCACCCGGTGGATCGTGACGTTCTCCGGTGTCCCAGACCCCTCCGCCGCCGCCGCCGCCGCCGAGGTCGCCGCCGCCACAGGCGCGGCGCAGGCC